TAGACAAGCATTCCTATATAGATGAATTCATTAGATTGGCAAGGAAGAAACTTTTATTGGCATAGAGAACAGCTGTTTTATAATATTATTTTTTATTTTGAAACATAATTTTTTCATAGATATCCTAAACAATTCACGTCAAATGATTTATTTATCAAATGTTTATTTTCATCATTTTTCAGAGAAAGGACTATACAAATTTAGTTGTATATTTTCAATTTCATTTATAAATGTTAATAAAGAAAATAGATTTACATTGTACAGTCAACTATCATTATCTCGACATCGCTTTTCTCGATATTTCGTTATCTCGATGAAATTTTGAAAGTCCCGATTTTCTTCCTTCTTAATCTATATTGGAAATATTTGTTTATCTCGATATTTCTATTTCGATATTTTCAGTATCTCGATGTAAAATTTCAGCCCCAACAGTTATTTTCACACTATTATCCTTTGTTTATCTCGACTTCGTCTGTTCCCTTCAGACGTGTGAAAAACACAATCTAGACGATAATTGCTCAATTAATAGTGCGTGTCATAATGACGATTATGTTTGTAACAAGTTTAGCTGTTTTTATAAAAGTTAATCTACTTAGCGTGTTGATTGACAATGAGTGAATTTTACATTCTTTTTAAATATTCGAACACTGTATCAATTCATTATGACTTTAAATGTAAAAGAAAAAGTGAAAGTATAGAAACGCTATCGTTGCAATATTGTTTCACAACATCACCACCAAATCAATCAGCGGTGGAACAATCTCGAGAAAAACCCGATAAATAACCCGAGAGGATATCCGGATCAACCATATCCGATATCCGATTCACTATATTGGTGTATTACTGAGTAAACCTCACTATGTGTTTTTATCACAGACACCCGTATTTCCGCTGGTAAACATCCACTTATGTTACTTTGTTAAATATTGACTAGGCCTATGAAAACAAGACATGGGGATATTATAGTTTATTTGACATAAGGTATGCACATGTCTTTTGTAAAAATCAGTTTCGCCTTGTTCTAACCCTAATATGTTTATCTCGACATTTCGTTATCTCGATATTTTTTGGACGGTCCCAATGACTTCGAGATAACGAGAGTCGACTGTATTTATATATATCCTCTTCAGAATCATTTTCTTACCACATATGCCATGAACTGTAGTTAAAGACCGCGCATATACAAAATATACATTCAAATTATATTTGTTTTTGAAGATTGAGTGTTGCAATTATCACATGTAACCTGGTAATGAAAGTTTGGAAATAAAGTTTTTTAATTATCACTTACCCCCCTTCAAAAGTAATTAAACTTGAAAGAAATTTAAGCGATGTGTAAAAAATAATCAACAGTTACTTTTATTTCGCAAAATACTGACTCAAACTGTACTGGCATGCGAGCAGTTCCTGTACAAAAAATGTAGTTACTTAAAAATTATTTTTTATTACGCTCACACACCAAAAAATTGAATGTTACAAATCAATATTCAGCTCGTCACACAAATTATGGAAATTCCATAATGTTCTAAACATAGAATAACCCTATTTATGAGGCCTCATATGGGGTACCGAAATTATCCATTATTTTGTATGAAGAGAAGTAGTTCCCGTACGTAAAATATAACCCATAATAATTATACAAATTTGTTATATCAGACCTATTTTTCATTTATAATTGTTGAAGAGACCATTTCTCACAGGTAGGTAAATCATGTAATTAATGATATAGAGCGTAGACTTAACACTGGTATCTATTACCCAGTACTGGTACCCCAACGCAATCACGTACAATGGCGTGCTTGTATGCATGATATTTTACTCATTAAAGCCATGAAATTATAAAATATAATAATATAGGTAATTAAACAGGTTTAAATCATTGCATTGCCTACTTATTTGTACGCAGGTTGTATTTGTGCAAAACCCTTTAACAGGCCTCACATGTAAGTATTTTTTGCGCATGCGCGCAAGGACGGAATCCCCCAAAGGTAACAAGGTTACGTTTTCACAACACACAGGTGAAAGTGATTTAAAATGAAAACTTTCTATACGAACTGCCGAACTGACACCTATATTTTCTCTCGTTTATGCATCTGCTTGATTAGAAATCAATTTTTGAAGAATGCAAGTAAAAATCAAGCGTTTAAATGAAAAATACGGGTACTGCTTCTGTACGGGAACTGCTCGCATGCCAGTAAAGATTTTTATTGTTTTTCTAGCGTTACATTAAAAAGTATAATAAATATCTTTCTACAGGCATTCAAATAAAAAGAATAATTAAAATATACGGATTAAAATATACGAGTGACATTAAAAAGGCCGGAATCGAGACAGCCACACAAGAGAACTTTACTGTTACGATGATTGTCTACTTCACTGCACCGACATTTGAAAACAGATTTACAAAAAATAATAATAATATAAATGATGAATGAAATTTAAATATTCTATGAATATGGCAATATTGACAATCTCGGCAATATTTTGTACTAAAAAATGAATAAATTTTCTTCACGTGTAAAGGCCGCAATACATTACCCGTAAAACAATTGTGCGTTAATAAAATTGACTACATAACCCAACAAATCTTAAATATTGCATCTTTGATCATATGTGAATAACTTACATCGGCTTCTTTTTTGTTTTGAAACTGAAAGTATTATGGTACCGTCACAGGGCACTCGTTTGGCCATTTTTGGGGCCGAATATCGGCCCCATTCCCCTCTCAAAATCATATGCTTTTTTCCCCTATTTCAGTAGAAAATTCCCCTTAAAAAAATTGTAGTGTTAGTGTTTGATATTTAACAAAAAAAAGTGATGTTTTGATTTCATAAAAATAAAATATATTTCTGTTTAACTTTCAATGGATTGAAAACTAAAATACAGTTGTCAACAACGCTGTATGTTAAAACCGAAAGTAGCAGGAAGTGAGAAATGTACAAGGGAGGTAACTCTCGTAAAAATTATTGACAAAATTAATGTGGCAGATAATCATCGTAGGAGTTTACCTTATATTTAATTTGTTTAGAGAATAGACATACATTGTCATATTCTGCTAGTAAATAAACAAAACTAAATTTAATTTCTGTCAGTTGTTGTTGGAAAAAACGTATTTCTCTTGCAGTTTTGTACTCAAATATTTTCGTACCCAGTTTTACAGTTACAGACAATTTCCTCTGGAACCAAAACCTTTCTTAGAAAAAGCATAACACTTTCTTGTTTATTATTATTTAATTCTTATATCAATTCACATTGTTATAATTGTTTCAATCTAAAGAACAGGCAGAAATATGTAGAAAATAGATTAAGAACTGACCAGTGCAGATTGCAAAATAGTGTGATACATTTTTAACTTTAAAAATAAAGAAAACATTAATGACTATGATAGGAAATAATTTTGCTGTGTTTCCATAACTTGGGTACAACATACCCTTGCCTAGGAAAGTCTGCCTTTCCAGAGCTTGTTGCACTGAATCAATATTTTTGTAAGTTTTTTTTAAAAACAGCAACAACAAAAACAACTGTCAATTTTAATTTTTTATCAAAAACAAAAATGCATTATGCTTGTTATAGATTTTAATATAACCCTTACGTTTTTCAGAATTTGCATTTTACCCCTCACTTTAGAATTTGAGGGGTATAAAACCCTTGGCCAAAAACATATATCTGAAGCTCTGATTGATGTCTGAGTCAGTCAAGTGCAATAAGAAAGCAATAAAGAAAACAATGACATAGCCTATTTCAAGAAAAACTTTATGTTAACTTATATGTTTTATATGTTAGGTCTATAGTAATAAATATACTTTATAGCTATTGTAAGTAATGGTTGGAAATTGTGCCAAGAGTAAGTGTAAAACCTAAATTTAAAAAACTCATATATGGCTTAAAATTCCCCTTTTTGTCTTAAAATGACGCAAAATTCCCCTTTCTGAGGGTATGGTTACCTGTCCCCAAAAGTTGTCTAGTGCCCTGCGTCATAATAAATTTCAAATATAAAAAAAATGTAAATTTACCGCGGATTTCGTCAAGTTAATTTTTTAACCGTCATTGCGGACAGATAAACTGTACCTTTAAAAAATAAATTAGATATTTGAATTAACCAAGTAGATTTTTCTATTTTTCTTCAAAATAAACTTTAAATTTCCAAAATCGGATAATAAATGAAAAAGCTATATGGTATTTTGTAAAGTAGGTATCCGTTGCGAACGGGCATTTACGCTTCGCCCCGGTAAATTATCGATCGATGTACCTTTATCGGGTGCACGACAAGATATTTAAGCATTTATATAGGGTAAACTGGGAGTGTCCGATCCCTGTAATATAAATCCGTGGCTTAACAGCATTTAAAATAGTACAACGATTTATAAGTTTTGAAGTTTTGCCTGTTATTTAAAGTAACATAACAGAACTTGCGACTTTCAAAAATAAGCAAAACATGGGGAATTCTAGTTTGAATATCCATGAGCAATAACTAAGACCCCATTTTAGGTAAATCAATACTTCGTAAAATATTTTTGCAGACGACACGGAAAAGGTTGGGAAGTTCTGTTTGTCTGATAAAACCATCTTAACATTGCTTTATGGTACTGAATGATATTCAAAATAAAAAAGGTCCAGAAAACTTCTATGAATTTTTTAATAAAGGTGAAAAAGGTGTTACGTTTCAGGCCTGTATTCAAATTAAAAAGTAAAATGAAAGTGCAACATTAAACACATGGCAATACCTGAACAGCTGAATACCGGACAGGTACCTAACTTTGTTCTGTCACAGTTTTGTACCCCTCCGTAAACTGATTTTTATTTTATTTGTTAAAAAGTGCAATTTATGGCCGGAAACTGCTTGGAAACCAGTAGCCTGATACAGACAGTAGCATGTTATTCTCTAATTGTCCCGATGATGACATACAAAATGGCCGCCCTAGGCTATGATTTCTATTAAATCTGATTTTGATCAAGTTATTGTTTCCTCGAGTCATAGGCTACAGTGCAGTAGAAAATACCTCTTTCTTACAGCTTATGACACTTAATTGTACTTTAAGGTCATTGTTTTCCTTCTTTCAAAACATTTAGAAGACGATTCTACAATATACTGACAGAAATTCATGGGAGGTAACTAATAAGGCAAACTCTAAAGACACCCTTTACTGGCCGGTCTACCCCGGTTTTGAAGCCATTTGGTTACTATACAGTACCAGTACAATGCATTTCTGAACATTACTTAAATTTTGTAACCATGTGTTTCCTTCGGTTTAGATGAATATATAACCACGGATATTATATGCAGTACTGTATTATGTAATATAAATCCGTGATATAACAGAACATCCCTCAAAGTATAACTCCATAGACTATGTGACTTACACATTCCTACTAAAATGACAAAACATAAACAACATCTCCCCTGGGTTACTCCTGACATACAAAGACAAGTACGTAAACGGGACAAGTTGTATGCAAAACTTAAAAAAAGAAATGTTGCCCCAAATTCTGATCCCCATTTCAAAACTCTTAAAGCCGTCATCCAAAGAAAAATTCGTAACTCGTATTGGAAGTATTTGGAGTCAGTTATATTCAGTGGGGATTCCCAACCAGGTCAAAGCAAAAAGTTTTACAGCTTTGTTAAACATAACAAAACAGATAGCTGTGGTGTTGCCCCCTTAAAATCAGAAGGTCAAACTCACACAAATCCTAAGGATAAAGCAAATATCCTAAATAAACAGTTTGAATCTGTTTTCTCTCGGCCTCAACCTTTAAGCCTAAAACAAATATGCAAACATGCAGTAAACCCCCCTCCATATTGCATGCCCCCTATCATTATAACGGTTGAAGGCGTTGATAAGTTACTAGCAGGTTTAAATCCTAGTAAGGCACAAGGCCCAGATCAAATATCGCCACGGGTCCTTAAAGAACTCCACAATGAAATAGCACCTATCCTCGCCCATATATTCAGGTTATCTTTAGAAACAGGTATTGTGCCTGATGATTGGAAAAATGCAACAATAGCCCCAGTATATAAAAAAGGTCACAAATCAAAAGCCAGCAATTACAGACCAATATCCCTTACTTGTATCTCCTCTAAATTAATGGAACATATTATAGTCTCAAACTTGATGACCTATTTTGACAAGCATAGTATCCTTAGTCCCTACCAACATGGCTTTCGGTCAAAACGTAGTTGCGAAACCCAACTGCTGAGTTTCTCCCAAGAAGTTTTTGACAACTTAGACAGTGGACAACAGACAGACGTGATTGTGATGGATTTTTCAAAGGCCTTCGACAAAGTCGACCATCACAAATTGATCCACAAGCTAAACACAATGGGTGTTAACAAACAGGTATCCACCTGGGTCAGGTCATTTCTTCGCCACCGTAGCCAAAGGGTTGCAGTGGAAGGTCAAATCTCCGACCAACTACCAGTGTTATCCGGTGTCCCTCAGGGTTCAGTCCTAGGACCCTGTCTGTTCCTGGCATATATCAATGATTTGCCAGAAACAGTAAAAAGTAAAACCAGGTTATTTGCGGATGACACTATAGTCTTTTTGACAATAAAAGACCAGACTGACGCTGAAAGACTACAGGACGACCTACATAAACTTGAAGTTTGGGAACGGGACTGGGCTATGGAGTTCAACCCAGACAAGTGTGAGGTGCTGAGGATCACCCGTAAAAAGAACCCCACCATCTTGCCATACACCCTTCATAATAAAACTCTCAAATCAGCAGAATCTGCAAAATACCTTGGAGTAACTATCTCTAAAGATCTAAACTGGACACAGCATATAAATAACATCACCTCCAAGGCCAAAAATTCTCTAAGATTCATCCAGAGAAACGTCAAAACACAAAACAGGCAACTCAAAACATCAGCCTATGTTACTTATGTCCGACCACAACTAGAATATTGTTCCACCATATGGCACCCCTGGCAGAAACATCTAAGTCATAAGATTGAAAGTGTCCAACGAGCTGCGGCCAGATATGTCTGTAATAATTATAATTTCGACAGTAGTGTAACCCAAATGCTAAATGAACTTGGGTGGCCTTCCCTAGAAAGCCGCAGACTCCAGTCCTCTCTAGTAGTGTTCTACAAAATCCAATACAAACTTGTATATGTTGATCATAACCATCTGACCCCAACTAGAAATCTGAACTTCCTGATCCCCCAGTCCCGTACCCAATATCATCTAAATTCCTACTTCCCTAGAACTCTCAGGTATTGGAATAGCCTTCCATATCAGGTCAAATACAGTCCCAGCCTAGATACCTTCAAGGATAGGCTGGCGACAGTCACCTTCTAGTCCCCTCCCCAGTATGTTTTTAATCTTGCACTATTCTCTTTATCCTGCACCTTTTTTATCTGTGATCTTTATCTTTTAGTATGCACTAATTCTTTAAACACAGTTTTCCTGACAAGCGCCTCCCAGTCATAGTCAGAATTGATTGTTCGGGAGTAACATGTAGATAGATGTAGATAGAAGTATTAATTTTGTATATAATTACAGTACAGCATTAGGCTACTGGTTGGGGACCACCAAATCCGGACAACCACCAAACCCGGAGGGCCCCAAAAATGCTTAATTAATTTAGTAATTTCTTTGTACAGTTGTTGTCAAAGTCACTTTTTTATCAACAGTAAATGCTAAAATTTAGTAAATAAATTTACTTCAACCTCCGTAAATGGTAATATTTTAATGTCTTTTCCAAGAATGTTGACGTTGAGATTTGGGGATCAAGAAAGCAATGTCTGACCTCATATACCAGCTATAATCATTTGCAGAGTAAACAATAAAATTTCCAAAACTTTAGTATTTAATTGTTGCTGAAATATTTTATATCTTGTTAAAAATCAAAACACCCAAGCCTTTATCTGAATTAAATTACGTCATGTACATATCTGTCCGGACACATGGTGCTGTACAGTGTAGACAATTTAGGTAATTTTGATACCCTCCTTGTCGAGCCTCAGAAATAAGTATCTATACGATCAGAAATAAACAAACAATAGTTTGTTAGAAGAACCTATAGCTAAACTGTGTCAAATGTGTTGATCTCAATGTTAAAAATTATGAAATCTGTACGGAAAATGTTCAAAACGTGTCCGGTTGATGGTCCCCGACCAGTATATTCGATGCAAGCTATGGCTGCACTAAACTGCTAGGGTAGGGAGTAGGGCAACTGCAGTTCCAGTGGTATACCGTCCTAGGAAAGAATGAGAATTTATAATAATCTGAAGTTGCTGTGAATAACCTGTAACATAAGGGATGGCCAAGGCATGATATTCGGGACAGGGGTGTCAAATATTCTTCTATAGGGATAGCAACCAGACCATGGTGCATCTTTTAGAGAAGGGATAACCTAGCATCTATACATGTACGTCTGATCATCTGAGTTATAATTTTCGAAAGTTAAGGGAGTGAAGCATGTCCGTGACACTAGAGATCTGACCATAGTCTAGCTTAATCCATCGGGCTACTCTTTTTTGGACATTTTCGATTTGATCTAATTGAGTGTTGGTGTGGGGAGACCATACTTCGGAACCATATTCATCACGGCGCATATCCATATCAGTACCCTCTTTTTGCGAAATCTGCTCAAACGGTACCCTCTTTGCACATACACAGGTCATTCTCTGCTAAAAACAAACCAGCGATGGACAAGTAAAATGGTTTCCTGCGGGAAACATTTTTAATGATATAAAGATATTTCATTTAACTATTTTCAACATTGTTTGGGGGGAAAATAAAGAAACGTTTGTATCAGGAATATACTTGAAAATAGTCGATCAATAGAAGAAGATCTATGGAGACTGGTGACCGTTGAAGACCGGAGACCAGAGAGAATGTCGAACATAAAACAATTACGGTATTTCTTTTTAAGAAAATGATTAAATACCATTGTATGAATAATTCCGTGCAAAAATAAAGATAACACACAAGTTTACGCAGAAAAGATCTATTTATTTTGGCAGATGACACTTCGAATATTTTGATTTTGTAGATTTTCACTATAAACAATTTATTGTTTGTAAAATTTGAGATAGATATCAAAGAAACATTGATAATAATTTTTTCAAACACACCATGAAAGATTTTCCACATTCTTAACGATTAACGCAAATAAAAGCATATGTCGTGCTTTGAGGGTACCCATAGGTACGGAATTAGACCAATTCGTTGTAGTCTAGAAAGTCTTTAAATTTTTGAAGTGGCCCTATTTAAGTTCTTTCTAGTTTGAATAGTCATAATGAAAGTGAATTTATTGTATATGTGTTGTTTTTGTGTTATAGGATGGCTTTAAAAGTTGTTTTTGTGTACTCTCTAGGAACTGATTTGTTGGCGGAAGGATCGATAAAAGATGTACTACCCACAAGCAGTCAGGGTTTTTGAAAGGGGTGAATTTAAACAGTGCTACAACAGAAGAAAATTACTTTGATACTGTAAAAGTACATCAAATTTAAAAAGCTTTTGAGAAATAAACATAAAAGTATGTCTGAGATATATAATGGACCTTTAAGTTCTATTCGAGTAATAAATTAAAAGTAGTAGTGGTAGTTGTGGTGGTGGTGGCATGTTAATACAGGCAATTATTGCTTAAAGCATGTGCAGTGTGAACAAAAGCAACATGAATGTTTATGAAAAAATCTTTACATTACATGTATAAATCATATGGTTATTTTAGAAATGTAACTTTTCAATATAAAAAAATAATAACCACAAAGAATTATTAAGGCACATATATTATTTATAAAAAAGCATGCATTCATCTTATTTTAATGAAAATGATATATAATAATTTCACAATTCTTCTTTTATATACAAAATAAACAAGTTTCTGTATGTTAGAAATTAATATCTTTTTTTATGATTTGTTGACGTTAGTGACTTAAATTTATCCAATTATGGACACTATCAACAAAAGAGTTTAAATCATAATTCCTTCTTTTATCTTTATGGCACGATTCACATCTGTCAACTAATTAGCGGAAATAGTGCTTTAGCGACCGGATAGCTCAGTCGGAAGAGTCGCGGTATGGTATACCGTGAGTCCTGGTTCGAATCCCGGTCATGCTGCACACTTTACTAACCATTGACATTTATTTGGCATTATAAAATTACACGTAATTGAGAAAAATAACATTGAATAACTTATTTATAAGCTAAGCACAGTTAGAATATATCACATACATTTGTAGGATACTACAGAAAAGAAACATGAAAAAACATGTATCAATAAAACAACAAAATAACATTTGCAACAAAAATAAATCTTGACAAATTCTAGACTCCTTTCCTGGAATTAGCTTTCTTTTTTTCTTCAAATTTTTAATGGTTGGGCAATGGTAATAGTATCTAGGAAATATTTTGATCTAAAGAAGAGACTGACTATTAAAGGATATATTAATCCTCAATTTAATTCAGGTTGCGAAAAGAACATTGTCAATTTTATTACATTGTATTATCATATCTTTCAGTTTCTATGCGTAAATTGCTCTTATACTCTAACTTTGGTTAAAGCCGCCTTCAGCCTTTCTGTTGAAAAAAAATATGTGTTGTTTCAAAGTATGTATTTTAATAATTTTATCTTGGAAAAGTGCATTATATCACTGTTTAACCTTCTCCAAAACAGCTTTTTAAAACGCTTTTTAACTAGCAGATCGCTTCACTAATCTATATAGAGAGAGAGCGGACCGGTAGAGTAGATGTATCGAGGGGTTTCCTTACTGTTTATATATTTTGTCGTCAGCAAGTCTCATTTTCCACCTTAATTCTTTTGATGTGACAATTATATGAAACGATTGATCTAAAAGTAACATATTTAATCTTTAGAAAAGCTGAAGAAGGCCCCTTTAATGTTTTTTGTGTGTTTTTTGTTTGTTTTTTGTTTGTTTTTTTTTGTTTTTTGTTTTTGTTTTTTTTTCTTTGCGAAAAAATGTTTGTTTATTGAATATAATTATAGACAATTGACTTATTTATTTCAGCGGGACCGATAAATATGATACAATTCGCCGGTCTTTAGTATTTCATGATAGGATGAGACCGGGAGACACTGGGAATTGACCTGACCAGCGGATATAAGTTATGGTTCGGGTGACAACTATGATAATAGTAGTTAGGCTATACAACGCGAAAACAAACCGATTTCAATGATTGATAATGGTTAGAATATAGTGATATCACGAATTAACTCCAGTCAAACCGTTACCATATACGCGATATCTCTGAACGAGCAACGACAATGGATATACGCAGTGCATCGACAAATGCCAAAACAACGGATAGCGCTCGAACCCTGCCACCCGGCATCTGAAGCTAAAAATAGATATAACGCAATTTTTGGACTGGTAACCTAAAGCCTAAAGACAAAAAGATTTTTATGCCCCCGCCATGTAATGGCCGGGGCATATAGTGTTACCCTGTTCCGTGTTTCCGTCCTTCCATCCTTCCGTCCTTCCATCCTTCCGTCCTTCCAACATTCTGTCATTCCGTCATCATCAGTTTCCCTTCATTATCTTAAGATCGGTTGCACACATTCAACTCAAATTTGACATATGGATATGTCATGAGAAAATACAGGTCAAGTTCGAATTTGGTCATGGTTCGATGATTTTTGGCAGAGTTATGCCCCTTTTACTTTGAAAATAATATGAAATTTTCAGTTTCTGTTCATTATCTCCCCAACGGTACAACACATTCAACTCAAACTTGACATATGGATATGTCATGAGAAAATATAGGTCAAGTTCGAATTTGGTCATGGTTCAATGATTTTTGGCAGAGTTATGCCCCTTTTACTTTGAAAACGATATAAAATTTTCAGTTTCCGTTCATTATCTCCCCAAAGGTACAACACATTCAACTCAAACTTGACATATGGATATGTCATGAAAAAAATACAGGTCAAGTTCGAATTTGGTCATGGTTCGATGATTTTTGGCAGAGTTATGCCCCTTTTACTTTGAAAACAATATGAAATTTTCAGTTTCCGTTCATTATCTCCCCAAAGGTACAACACATTCAACTCAAACTTGACATATGGATGCGTCAAAGGAATGCGCAGGTCAAGTTCAAATTTGGTCATGGTTCAATGATTTTTGGCAGAGTTATGCCCCTTTCACTTTGAAAGTATTATGAAATTTTCAGTTTCCGTTTATTATCTCCCCAATGGTTCAACACATTTAACCCAAATTTGACATATGGATATGTTTTTGGAATGCCCAAGCCAAGTTCGAATTTGGTCATGGTTCAATGATTTTTGGCAGAGTAATGCCCCTTTCACTTTGAAAATAAAATGAAATTTACAGTTTCTGTTCATTATCTACCCAACAGTGTTACATATTCAACTTAAATTTGACATATAGATATGTCAAAGGAATGGGCAGGTCAAGTTGGAATTTGGTCATGGTTTGATGATGTTTTGGCAGAGTTATGTCCTTAATTTCACTTTGAAAATAATATAGATACATCTTAGGAATAAGCAGTTTAAGTTTGAATTTGGTCGTGGTTCAATAATTTTAGACAAACTTATCTTTCCTGAATGTTGGAAAAATTTTGAACTTTCAGTTTCAGCACTCATACTTTTAGCCATTATTTTGGCTACAAATATGCAATATGCTATTTTTAAAAGGTTAAGACTGAATAATTTCAGTGCCTTGAACATTGTATGAAAATGGTTTGTGTTAACATTGAAAAGTTTTAAGGGCTTTGAACTTAAAAGGAAAAAAATAATTAATGCACCATCTGAAATTTTGGCTGCATGCGGGGGCATCCGTGGCATGATGACACATTTCTAGTTTTAATATACGAAAGGCTTAAAAATACTTATTTGTGTTACAATGCATCTGATGTCGGTTTCCAACTATCGAGCAATTGCCTTGAACACGGAAAAAATGCCCGAAAATTTAAGTAACTGATTTAAGTTCAAGCCTTGAATCAGATGTCCAAATTCAATTCCATGACTTCTACACATTCTGTATATTATGTGCAGGCTTCATAATTCAAATTCCTTGTCATTTTTGAAGCACATTTTTATCAAGTTGCTAATTATCCTTTATTCTTTAATTGTAAGTAAAGAGATTTTAAATAGGAACGTTAATATTAACATTATTATAACATACATGATCTGATTTAATGCATAATGCCCTAAATTGTCCTTGTGGGATTTAGTCCTAATTGGCTATTTTTCAAAGGGCTATTGTCGTAGTTTACTACATGTATATTTTCCTACAGTACACACGCCTAATGACATTCGGTTTTGTGACAGGAGCTCATGATAAAGCATCCAGGTTCTATTTAAAAGGGATTTAGCGTCCTACATTCATTTTATGTCGGAATTAAAGTCATAAATGCATGCTGGGTCACTAGATTCTATTTCCTTTTTGACCATGACGTACCTTCCTAGCTGTATTCATGTTCTCTAACGCGCACGTTTATAAATAATAGTCACAAACCATCAGATGGAAAAGCCCTGTTTAGAATCTATTCGGACTGACAGACTACTTCAAGTGGGGATCTCTATGAAAACGCTTACAAAAGTGACTATGAAAAACCTGTGATGTTGCAGATCATTGTGCGTATGCTAGCATGTTTGCAATGTTATACCTTCAATTGTCTGGTTTAATTGTTACACAGATTAACAATAAAAAGCAACTGAATAATATTTTTATTTGGAACGTTTTTACATTAAATGTTTGCAGCCGAATGTAAGTCTTGCAAATAAATTATAATTTTATATTTCAGTTGTTTCTTTCAATTCACTGCTTTCTTGATGTCGTTTTTCGCCCTTTTCTCTCTGTCAATCTGTATAAGACAATATTGTATATCATTAAGAAACAGTTTAAAAATATAAGTACGAACAAGAGAGCACGAGAAAACATTTTGTTAAAAACACAAAAACAGCAACAGCAGTAGATAATGAAAAGTCAGATATTGTCTAATCCCTGACTTGAATATACAATTATACGATATTATCATTTTCTCATGAGAAACAATTAAATTCAGGACGAAGAAAAAATATAATAGTTATTCTAGAACTGTTATACTATTTTGGTATTTTGTTTTATAATTTGTTTGACAATTGTTAATTGTTAATTCAGATATCATTTTAACAAATTGATTTCAGATATATTATGCATGTTGTCATATAGAAATTAAAACTTTGTTAAATGTACGAAATAGAACGATATGTAGAAAAATAATGTGATTAGATTTTCTAATATACAAATATATATTGCCTCAATAACTATGTCCATTGTCTTGAAGCGTTTCATACTAGTTAGGTAAATAGTTGCATCAGAATAGTGCGTAGTAATTAGTAATCTACCAAATATATATTTACTTTTTCCACAATTATTTCCATAAAAGCCAGTTGCACATTTACAAGTGTAGCTATTGATCCCATCAGTGCACACGCCGCTATTTAAACATGGATTAGCAGCAAAAAAAACGGTCTATATAGGAAATCATGTCTAACTTTTCAGTTAAAAACATAATATCAGTTAAAATGGCAATAAACAGAAAATGATAGTACGTAGAATAGAAATTAAAACGATAAATAGTAAAAAGATATAAGTTCACTGACTCAGAGCTAATCATAGTGAAAAGGTATGATGCCTTACTTTGTCCATAGACTTCGACTTCACATAAATGGAAATATTTCTGTTTGTCCCTTAAAGTTATTCTGACGTAACGAGCTTGCACTGTAGCAAATGTAAATGATTTGAAATCACCTATTGCACCTTCCTGGTACGCTACCACCGTCATTTTACCACCATCCTCTTTTGCTACGGAGATTTCAACATTTGACGCTCTATCAGCTGAAAATAACAATATATCGTATCTCGGTAGCAGGTACAATAATTTCGACAAATACTACAATATCATTTATCGGATTGTCATATTATTAGAAAATTTAATAATCTTAACACTTCCGTCTTTATATGTAAGATATCCGCAGATTCAACAAACATTTTACTTTCACCTTGTCCATTCAAATAACAGACAACTTCAAATGGTGTCATTATTTCTATCTGCACAGTTATAAAAATGCATTAAAATGTATAACTTAATAATAATGTTTACACATATGTTATACATGAACATGAATGTTAACACATATGTTTTACATAAACAATTTTACGAAGATGTCTGGATAGCAAAAAATATATCTTTGCATATCTCACTAGGTTCACATAACTTCTGTAGTGGAAGATATTGGTTGAAATGTTTCAACTGTTGGGTTGCCGCTGAATAAAAGTGACCCGTAGGCTAAATAGGGGAACTCGTCTATCGCATCGACCATATTAATCCCAAAGGCCTCCAACATTTCAGTAGTGGGTCACTGGCAACCCCAATAATTAATGTCATCGTTAATTTGTACAATAAGTAAAATTTATATGAACTATAAAAAATGGTTTTATACCTTAAGGCTTAGAAAAGCTGTTTCAAAAAAATCGAACTTATATTCACGAAATAAAATTATTTTCAAAAATACAAAATTGTGTGTAATATAAAGAATTATAGTAAATTGAATGTAAAGAGTTGAAAACTACAAACTGCAGCAATCCTTCCTGTTGGTGATGTTCACTTGACTTATGTAATATACATCTTGAAGATCAACTTGCCACCAAGGACTCATACTGTTTTTAGTATGGAAACAATGGTGGTTATAAACATCGGTATCAGCGTTACCATCCACACCTTTGTCAGCAGTCCAATCGTTGGTTTCTTCATCATAGTTATTTATCTGACTGGCTGGTTTATTAAGGGCAAGGTTAACGACAGCTGAAGCAAAAAAGGTTAGTTATCATGACTTTTGACACTGTTGACATTTATTTCAATATACATGTTCCTTGTAATATTTTCCTAACAATCCAACATATTCGTTTTACAGTACAATAAATAGAGAATAAGTTCAATTTATTGAACGAGTTGAATAAAATTGTATATCATGCTAACCTCTGGCGAGTATAATATTATGTTATTCAACTAGTTCAATTAATTACATAAATTTGATATTTTATTTTTCGCAATCCAAAAAAGAGACCATTTAAAGTGAAAAAAGAGTCAGTATAATGCTAATATTTAGCGCGTCTTTACACTATAACGCAAATCTCGACCGGAATGTAGCGTACTGTTGTCAATTATGATAAGCCCCGCCTTCTATGTATAATGCATGCTCTGCCTCTCTGATACTTGGAGTAAGATGTTATAATACACTTGTATAGTAAACATTTAAAGCTATAGAAACTATCATCCGGGTCTTTGGTATCAAACAATCCCTTTAAGTGTCTGATTCTATATAGAACACATCACCATGTTATAAAAAAATTCAATTTTAAGGGCCAGTGGGGCACGCCAGATTCGGGGATATGTAAATACATGATGCAGATGAACTGAATGTGTCGGGTTGGATCTATGATTACAACAGTCAGGAATGCAACACATTGATAAAGTGCGTAGAAAATTCAAGTACACCAGGATGAAACAGCAGAAAAAAACGAAAGAAAAGAAAACAACAAAAAACCTGAAAATACCGTCACCTTGACTCCTTGATCTTGCTCATAATAAATCAAGGGTTTACAGCAAAACTTTTATGACATAAAGAAGGACTAACACAGTTGTTTTGCGATCAATCCCTCGATAAGTAAATAAAAATGCGCGACCAGAATCGAAAATTATTTCATAACCAGATAAACAAGGAGCATCATTCGAAAGCAGAGTTGTTAAAGGACATGTATATATCAAACAAGAATGATCTGTTCAAGTGTAGGACAACCGCACGAAAACTGCATAAACAACAGAATACTTTAACAAAACTTTTTTTTAAAGAGGAACATTACTAATTTGTCTTATTGATTATGTTGTTTGCAGGAGTATATCGTGAGATCACAGATGAAGTATTTAACGCTTACAAAAAAGCCTTTGGATTAATTTTGCTTATAACGGTATAACATGTTACGTGCCAGATTTTATTAAAGTTCTTAGTTTAATGCATTTATTTACTTATTTACATTTGAAAATTAATATATGAAACTTTGATAGAATGATTGACTTTGGTAACATTTTTACAGAAGTCAAAGTAATAAGTGAGTGAAATTAATGCGGTTATAACAGAAAAGTGACGTAGTGAACTTAACGAGATAAAAAAAACAACCAATGCAATGTGCATTTGACATCACCTACATCCGATGATAATGCTTATCTAAATTACGATGTGATTGTAAGCCTTGTGCTCTCTCATACCATTGCAGTCAGTAAAAAGTGTTGTACGTGTTATTTTGTTGAGCCCACAGACATCGCAACAAATTTATGTACAGACTGATTTACAACTATATTTTGAAAATATATGTTGCCATATAGAAACTCAGCATATTGTTATTTAAAGAATAATAGATATAGTAGAAAGAAAAATACACAACACATGTACACGTGTATGCACTGAATGTACACAATACGTTTAATAAAGAATTTACTCACTCACTCACTCGCTCACTCACTCACTCACTCACTTACTTATGTTGCTTTGACAAGAATGGGTACATTCATTTGTTTTGAAGCCGTGTTTTATTTAATACGTACACTGTTGCATCTTTATAAGCTAAAAAAGATATATCTACCTTTTCCACAATTACTTCCATAAAACCCTTGTGTACATTTACAGGTGTAGCTATTGACCCCATCGGTGCACACGCCACCGTTCAAACATGGCTTATCAGCACAGTCATCGACAGGTGTACCTTAATGAAGATAACAATAACATCAATCAAAAAAGGGAAATCAAAATTTGCTTTTACGAAGAAATAAAAACCGGTCTCCATATTTTTCAGTTAAAAAACAAAGCAACATTTAAAATTCCATAAAGATAAGGCTGGCGGATGAATTAAAAAGGGAAAATTTGACAATGAAATAGCAGGACTTAGTTGTACTTTAACCATACTAGTATTGTATTGTATTATACAAACATGTATTAGTTTACTAACATTACGATATATATGAATTTAAACAAGAAAATAATAATGGTGTTAATTCATTTTTCTTGTTTATTAAAAAAGAAACATATGAGTTTTGCTCACGCTGGCAGTTAATGTCTTTATTTCGTAAAAATAACCTAGACAAAGTTAATATGTTTTGATATCACAAACATGTTCAAGGAAATTTTCGCTCAAAAAGTTAATTAAAAAATGGTCTTTTCAGGAAATAATGTCTAACTTTTCAGTTAAAAACATAATATCAGTTAAAATTGCAATAAACAGAAAATGATAGTACGTAGAATAGAAATTAAAACGATAAATAATAAAAAGATATAAGTTCACTGACTCAGAGCTAATCATAGTGAAAAGGTATGATGCCTTACTTTGTCCATAGACTTCGACTTCACATAAATGGAAATATTTCTGTTTGTCCCTTAAAGTTATTCTGACGTAACGAGCTTGCACTGTAGCAAATGTAAATGATTTGAAATCACCTATTGCACCTTCCTGGTACGCTACCACCGTCCCTTTACCACCATCCTCTTTTGCTACGGAGATTTCAACTTTTGACGCTCTATCAGCTGAAAATAACAATATATCGTATCTCGGTAGCAGGTACAATAATTTCGACAAATACTACAATATCATTTATCGGATTGTCATATTATTAGAAATTTTAATAACTGTATCACTTTCGTCTTTATATGTGAGATTTCCGCATATTCACCAAACATTTTACTTTCACCTTGTCCATTCAAATAGCAAACAACTTCAAATGGTGTCATTATTTCTATCTGCGCAGTTATAAAAATGCATTAACATGTATAAACTTCATAATAATGTTTATACATATGTTATACATGAACATGAATGTTTACACATATGTTTTACATAAACAATTTTACGAAGACGTCTGGATACAGTGGATAGCAAAAAAATATATCTTTGTACATCTCACTAGGTTCACATTACTTTTGTAGAGGAAGGTATTGGTTGAATTTTGTTTAACTGTTCGGTTGCCGACCCGTAGGTTTAATAGGGGAACTCTTCTATCGCATCGACCATATTAATCCAAAAGACCTCAAACATTTCAGTAGTGTGTCAGTGGCAAACCCAATAATTAATGTCAGCGTTAATTTGTACAACAAGTAATTTATATGAACTACAAAAAAACAGTTTTATAACTTAAGGCTTAGAAAAGCTGTTTCAAAAATCAATGTTATATTCACGAAATTAAATCATTTTCGAAAATACAAAATTGTGTGTAATATAAAGAATTATAGTAAATTGAAAGTAAAAAGTTGAAAACTACAAACTGCAGCAATCCTTCCTGTTGGTGATGTTCACTTGGCTTATGTAATATACATCTTGAAGATCAACTTGCCACCAAGGACTCATACTGTTTTTAGTATGGAAACAATGGTGGTTATAAACATTGGTATCAGCGTTACCATCCACACCTTTGTCAGCAGTCCAATTGTTGGTTTCTTGATCATAGTTATTTATCTGACTGGCTGGTTTATTAAGGGCAAGGTTAACGACAGCTGAAGCAAAAAAGGTCAGTTATCATGACTTTTGACACTGTTGGCATTTATTTCAAAATACATTTTCCTTCTAATATTTTCCTAACAATCAAACATATTTCGTTTTATAGTATAATAAATAGAGGATAAGTTCAATTTAACATATAACATGCGAGCCTCTGACGAGAATGATTTTATGTTATACAACGAGTTCAATTAATTTAACAATGACCTTACACAATTTGACATTCTATTTATCGCATTCCAAAAAAGAGACCATTTAAAGTGAAAAAAGAGTCAGTATAATGCTAATATTTAGCGCGTCTTTACACTATAACGCAAATCTCGACCGGAATGTAGCGTACTGTTGTCAATTATGATAAGCCCCGCCTTCTATGTATAATGCATGCTCTGCCTCTCTGATACTTGGAGTAAGATGTTATAATACACTTGTATAGTAAACATTTAAAGCTATAGAAACTATCATCCGGGTCTTTGGTATCAAACAATCCCTTTAAGTGTCTGATTCTTTTTAGAACACATCACCATGTTATAAAAACTTTCAATTTAAGGGCCAGTGGGGCACGCCCGATTCGGGGATATGTAAATACAAGGTGCAGATGAACTGGGGCCATCCTTGCTACGAAATTTCAACATTGTCCGCCCTTTCAGCTAAAAATAACATTTAATTTTTAATCTAGACAGCTAAAATTAACCATTAATTTCCAACCTCGACAACAACCTCCACATTAAAATGACTTGGTCAAGTGGTTGACCCTTCGAACAAGATATCTAAGGATTGCTGGTCGCGTTAGTTCAAATTCCGTTAGGAAAAAGCCGTTTTTTTTTCTTGAGCAAGAAACGTTAATACTGCTGTTTTTAGAGTGTGCCTTCCTACATAATCAAACTAAAATTTACTCTATGTCAACTACCATCCAAAATTAAATAACATTTTGAACGTGTAATTTCGGATCATCGTAAACCTAGAAAATGCAGAACACATTCACTTCACGAATACGTAATATATCTAATGTGATAGATCCACAAGACAACTGTTTAAACAAATGTCATCGTTAAATAGCAACTAAATATGAGTATTAGAATGCAATATATCTCAAATCAAATTGAGGAGTAGACTTCCAGAAGTCTACATAAGAAAGATGTATATAGTTAGAAGATGAAAGCAACATACCACAGCAGTCTTTCCTGTTGGTGATGTTCACTTGACTTATGTTATAAACATCTTTCAGATCCACTTGCCACCAGGGGCTCATATTAGTATAAGTATGGAAACAATGGCCGTTAGAAATATCACTATCAGTATTACCTATTACCATCCACCACTTTGGCAACAGTCCAAGTAACTCCCATGTTACTTGACATGCTTGCTGACTTTCCAATTCAAAACATTTAGATATAGACAACAATGCTAGAATATCAACTACTTGTATATTTCAGATGATCTAAAGATAATATTTACCTGCGTTTGACTCTGTTATTCTCAAAACAACCCAAAGCGTCAAACTTACCTGAAAATTTAAAACATTTTGCAAGTTCGTAATATCCTTTTTTCATTATATCAGTCAATTTAGTGGCATTTACTCTCTATATATACATCTATATGTATAACATTATAGTGAATTAAAGCTTTAATTAATCCGATATGAATCGTCTATAAAGAATATTACAAGATCTGGCCGCGTATTCAACACTTTATATCTTTTAACTTCACATCTAATTCATTTAAGAACACATAATTATTTTCGAAAACTAAGGATCAGTTTCACTGCATGAATTTGATATTTTACGATATATTATGAATGAATATAATAATTGAAATCAACTCCATACCAAGGTAGAAAATGTCAACATCTTCATACTTAACAGATTGGTAATATTCAAGAAGACAAGAATGGAATCAAAGGGTATGATTCTGAAAGTACAAAAATTGTGTACATGTACATTCCAACACAAAAGGGCAAAAAATGTTTGTTTTACTATAATCCCTCTATGTGTTCTTCTTACTCTCCTTTTCATCGGTCAAATGCTACACTTTTGCTCACTGGGTGTATTCGGTGAGCTGCGAAGGGATCGTATAGTGTTCTTCCTTGATTATTTGTGTTATAATAGCCCTAAGAACAGCAAAATAAGGACCTGCTTGAAAAGCGAGCATTACAGTCAAGCAAGTATTAAACAAGTATTAAATGTATCAAAGGTGTTATGTTTTTTGCGAAGTTTGATCGGTAAAACACTTAGGTCAGCTGAAAGGAGAATGATAGGAAACACTGGGGAGGAAAGCGATGGAAAAATAGTTTCAGGTTGGAGGTCTAATTAAGTTTCGTGAAAACGCAATTTCTAAAGGAAAACATTTTTCTTTACATGGACGCTCACCAGGAGAATCATAACAATAACAATAACATTCGATACGTTTTCAATCATCGCAAGTTCGGCGGAAAGAAAAATGAATAAATAGCGTTACATGATAAAACTCCAATGGCATAAATAGCAGAACTATCTAAATTAGATTCCGCAAGGCTCCGAAGTACAAAACGCAATCATGTTTGTCATCGCGGTGAACATAATATTTTGAAAAATGTTGTCAAATGCGTCGTGTAATCACCGTTATAGTATTTAAACAAATTGGTTTTAGAAATGCAAGTTATTATTGTTCGCGAATATTTAAAAATCGCAATATTTTAATCATTTTCAAAAAATTAAAATCACAAAGTATTATTATGTGTCCACCAAGTGGCGTACTTCGGAGAATGAGCTTTCATGTAGGCCTACAAAACACATTCCTACAATCGCCTTGTATTATTAAAAAGATTAAAATTATCTTTATTTTGATCAAAACCAAAATAATGTTTCTATGTCATCGAGTAAGACATTCTTGTTTTTAGTAACGAAATATTTATCCTTGTATTTGGTATTTTGGCTCAAATGAGCTACCTGTTAAAATGACATTTTACGCTTGTCTCTCTTTAAATAAAGAGGGAAGAAACAGAGTAATTTATTTCGTAAGTATAGGAAAAAAGAAAATTATGAAAGAATACAAAATGAATAGTATTAAATGAAATAATAAATAAAAATAAAATATTTTGTACTCACATGTTTCACTGACTGGTCTTTCAAGTTACGTGTACACGCTGATATTCCTTCTGTTCGCGTCGGTTTTATACTGTTTGTGTCATAACATATTGCAACATTTCAAACGCCAACATTTATTATTCAAGCAAAAGATTTTTATCATTAGCTTAATACTTTGTTTGTTTTCTAAAGGTTTTAGACAATGTGTGTAGCGATGAAAATTCCATTTGAAGATAAGATATTCTAGCGATTGTTTTGATTCTAAGCTTCGTTAACAAAACCCCAAAGTACACAACCAATGTTCTGTTGCATAAAATGAAAAAGCATTGATTTTTGTGTCTATAGTTGGGGGCTCTTTCATTATTTTGGTGACGAATTTTGGTTTGACGGCTGATGATGCTATCTTGCTCTAACGGCAACTGTTACCTTTGATTTATGAGGAACAATTGCAAGATTTGTTGTTTATCATATATAATTATCATAATAAAGTCTAGAAATACATCTAATACAAAACGTTTTGTGTAAATTCTGAAGAGCAAGCAGATGCAGGAGATGATAATTCATATTACCGCATGATGCGGTCTTTGATGTTCCACAACTGTTATACGCCAGTAATGTTCATACTTAACTGTCAATAGTGTGTTATTTCAAATAAAGAACAAATATATAAGTACTCTTATGTATGACAATGACCGTTGACAAAACACAAGAGTTACAGAACTGTACCAAAAAAACTAATATATTCAGATTTGGGATAGGTAATGAGGTACTAGGGATATGACTTTCAGTTTAGAATAGATTTTGTTTGGTGCATGAACGTATTTGTTTATAAATATTTTAATCCATTTTCCTGAATGTACTTTGGTTCTAGGTAGCAATGCCTATATAAACCTCGTTTAGCAATATTCGCATTATTACCCCTTTAAGTAAATAATAATAATGGTTTTCATTGAAATAAATTTAAAAATGTTTTAACATGTCATAAAAAATCTGATAAAATGGCGGTTAGCGTAATGCTAACACTAAAGCTTGGATATTGGAAGGGCTGATACAATTTTACAATAATAAGAAATATCGCCTTTTTACCGGTGTTACGTATAAGCATGTAAAACAGTACAAACAATTAAAGGTAAAAATGAAATAAACCAACACAATTGTCACTGCGATGGCATACCTAAGACTATGAAACATCATCACTAATTAGACTTACCCGAAATTAAAACCCATTGATGACTGAGCAAAAATACGATGACAGTGGTTGGATAGGTGTTGTAAAGACTAATTCATTAGAGTTTGTGTTTCGATAAACAGCTTAATCTGACAATCTGGTAACAACTGCTATCATATATTTACAGCACAAAGACAACAAACAGACAGGAAAACATATAAAGATGCAGTGAAATAAGACTATCAATGATCGTTATTGTGATTATCTGATTTAACACAATGTAATTTCCTCTCCTAAACAACAGAGTAGAACAAATTTGGAAAGTGAATAGAAAACGAATGTAGATGTTATGTTAGATACCTTAGCCTGGGATTCAGGAGTTGATAATTTTTGCTTATTCATAACATACGCGCTATTTCATACTCGATCGTCATAGATAACACTTTGATAGTCGATTCGCCAAACAGAAGCACATAAAAAATCGACAGACTGGAACCCAGGCTATAGATACCTGTACAGTGATAGAAGACTGAGACATGACAATTAAAATCGGATATACACAACTGTTAACTTTCTCATCAAAACAACAGCAGTAACCAGATATAAACTGGACAAAGAAAGCGAACAGAAAATGCATTATGATGTATTATGATATAAGTATATCATGCAATATATGATTTATTGTAGAAATCTGATTTGCACTCATCAAAGCAGCAATTACCAAAACTAAACTGGGAGAAAAATGCAATATGGTATAATATGAGATAAGTCTTTAATGCAATGGTTTATTGTAATATTATTGAAGTATCTTATTTTAAACAATAATTGTGAGCTTTTCATCAAGACAAACATGTAAATGGTGAATCACTTCCCAAAAAAATACATAAGCACGATCTTAAGTTATTTATAATAACATGCTCTCCATAAATGATGAAATCTGCTTCATAAGTTTTCGAAGAGTAGGATAAGCTGGCCGAAACCATTGTAAGTAAGAATCATTGGTAATGTCAAAAACCCAACTATGTATTTTATTCCAGTCAGATATTGACTTATTGAAAACAAGTGTTCAAGTCTGACAAGTTGGAATATCATCATTTGTATGTATATATTGCACTAGTCCAACTAATTAGACTTGTCAAAGATACACCGAGATAATTTTGGACGGGCGTTGTCTTGTAACGGTTTGACAGTAAGAAAAAAAAGTCTGTAAAATGGGTCAAACCGTTCACGCCGAATTAATTAGGCTAATATTGCACATGTCTGATGTACCTTTAACACTAAGTAGTATAGGTTTTATATAACAACATATAATGGGAGAATAGGAAGCTATTTCATAATTATCACATACAGTAACTTTAAACTTAATATACTTCTGTATTTCTTGACAGTACTGGTAATTTATTCATAATAAATGCAGTTTACTTCAATACCTAATCTTGCCTCCAATTAATTCCTTTCAAGGAAAGTCATTCACATTCATAATATCTTTGATAAACCTTAATTATACCTTTATCATACCATGATTTTATGAAAATATAGGTTTTCTATCCATCAACATAATTATATTGGTTATAGAACAGAGGCATTTCTAACAACATTTCCATAGAAATAATCGGTATTTTTCTACAAATTCTACATAAGCACATAAAAAAATTTTCCGAAATGAATTTTTTCAAAATACTATATATACATGTATATTCTGTATATAACTTTCCACAATTAAACAGCTTCTTAATGTCTAAAACGTTATCTAAAATAGTGTAACATTTTCCACATTCAGATGATACAATCTATTCTTCTTAACCACTTTTCATGTAAGCATATACATTGTTTGTACATCAATCATTTTTAGACCACCGTTACATATTCTTTCACCAATACAGAAGATTTAATCTTTGGCGGACCTTGCCACATAAAACATATTATTTATTTCCTTTAACATCTGAGAATTAGGATTTGGAAGTGACATAAACAAGTTGGTTAATAAAGGAAGTAACAGTGACTTTACTACAGCTATTTTAGTTCACTTTAGCGAGTATATTATATACATGTAAGAACACCGTAGGGAACGTGTTACAGTATCGCGTTTTTCGGTTACAGTATAGAATTTTCAAGATGGAGGTTTATTTATGGGAAGAGAGGTAGGTGATTTTTATTCAGGTCCATACTACTAGTACTTTAGTTTCTAAAAGATATTTTTGTGCTTTGCTTGTAAGGAACAGAATCCGGTATCTAGTCATATATTTCTTCAGATCCTTCACCGCAGATTTATCTCTATATTGTCTCATGTGCTGATTTGACGGTTGGAAAATTTGAATGGAGAGACCAACGCATTTTTCTCCCATTCCGACATTATTTAAGCATGCCTAGAT